TGGGCTCAGATCTTCTCCATGTCTTCTTGGTTCCTGGGGGTCAGGTTTGTTGCCCCTCACACTCACTATTGCACACTCATATGGAGAAACCCTGTACACAAGCATGTGAGCACACACACACAAACACACAGGTCACAGTGCACAAAGTGTTCTCACATGCATGGACTCAGGTGTTTTTGACACATTAGACCTATGTTGGGCTGTGGTTGGCACTAAATGCACCATGAATAATAACGTTGTTATTAATATATATCTATATGATGTTTGGTGCTGTGATATCTTGGTTTTGTTGTATTTTTGTGTGCCCTTAGGAGCAAATCTTTGAACCTCTTGTGTTTGTTTCTTTTTGTAAACTTTAAACCCCCTGTTTTCTCTATGCCCCCTTCTCCCCCCTTAAGTCATTCGCTGCCAGCCGTTTCCTGATCGGTAAAACCCTTCGCTGCCAGCGTTTCTCACTGTTTTTACTGTTTAAGAGTCAAAGAACGTTGTGCGCTAGGATAATGTCGACGCCAAACAAAGAGTAGACTCACCTCTTACGTCAGGAAGAATTTGCGCATTTCGAGCCTTATCCGTTCTTTCATAATCCGTTGTTGAATTGTGATCGGCAGAAGCTTTTCTGGATCGCACCTCACTATTTGTTCCAGCAGCGGCCCAAAACGATCTCCTAACACATGGATTTTCTGCTTCCTGATCACGTGACGTGTGACGTATGTGGATGAAGATCGGCTTTAGAGCTGAGATGTTTGTTCTCACGGTGCGGGGTCTCGTTTCGATGCCCACACAGTAAAAAAATGCAAATGATGACTTTAGTCATCATTGGCAGTGAATGAGTTAATTACTGTCTCCATTTTCGTTGGGATAAAAAATTACCAAAAGCAAATCTAATAAAGTTTTAATATCAGGCGAGGCATTATAGCTGCATCTGTGATCCTTTGTCTGTAACACTCCACTCGTGAGAAAATAGAGCACCCCCCTCCGCCTTACTATTGGGGTCTTTACTCTCACCACGCTTTTTGTTTGAAAAATTTGGCGAAAGAAGGCATTGCCTGGTGGATCGGGAGGGCAGGGCTGCGGCAGTGACTGGAGGAGCTGAGCTGTATCGTTTCATTTCGGCTTGTAAGTTGCCAAGGCAACCAGTGCTGAGCCAGTTTGAGGCATGCAGTGCTTTGCAGCCATGTCATAAATACTGGCTAACTGGCTAACCGCTTAGCCAATAGCAATAACTGATTAAAATTAAGATCTTGTGCAAACTATCAAACCTGAGGAGGTTTAAGCTGGCAGTTTTAAGCTGAATATTTATGTTTTAAACAAGATGCTCTAAAATGCCAAAATAATGACACAGCTCTATTAGATATTCATTTATGCAGTTTATCAAATTGATTTGGGGTGAATTGCTCTCTAAATTACTTTTCCTAAGACCTTCTAATCCAGTAACCATTGATTACATACGTAGATTGCTTCTGTCTGGATTTTCTTACATGAGCTCAAACTTAAAATTATTCCATAATTGTTGTTGCGCCACATTTCTGTTTATTTATCATTTAAATTTAGGGTTCTCAAACTTTTCAGCTTTTGACCAACAAATTCAAATTAGCGACCCCAACTATTAATACTGCTAATAAATCAGCATAACATTATCTGCCCTGCACAAAATTAACATGTGAAAATAATTTCCTCATGTGTCGCATTCTTTGGAGCTCACTACCAATCAGAAATCGACCATAATGGTCTTCTCCCTCTGTTTCTCCTTCACGCCCATCTAGTCTCATTAGGACCCTGCTAGTCTGATGGGACTTGTGTGTAAAGTTGCATTGAAAGTGACCAGCCTGGGTTAATCACCTTGCTGGAGGCCAAATAGATAGATTTGGATGGTGGTGGTGGTGGGGGCCGTCAGTATTCTATTAAAGCTGCTCCATCACTCAGTGTGCCCCCAGTCTGCCATCTTGGTCCTAAACTTCCCAAGTGCGCCCAAGGAATTTCCCCTCTTTAAGGAATTATGTACGAATTTTTTAGAATTTCTAAAGTGATAGTCTGACCCTGCGCTGTAATACAATGTAGGCAATACAGCTTTATTTTTTTGCAAAGCCCGCCCTGTATGCTCTACGCAATTTCAGTTGACTACCATTCAGGATTAGCCAACAGTATTTGACATCCACGTATGTCAATCACATTTGAGCACATATTTAGTTAGATGCAGAGTTGGCAACCTTTCTCTTTGACAAATAAGTCTTTAAAAATATATTTAGATGAATAAACAAAATAAGAATAAAATAAGAAAGGTTAAACTATATGTTTTAGCTTTGTTGCCTTGCTAGAGGTGCACGTTCATGAATGAGGTGTGTTGCTTTTGGTCATTAATACGGAAATGGTGACAACAGCTTTTGTCAGCCTCTGCCGGGGCCCTTTTGTCAGGGTTAAAACTAAAATGTGCTGGATACCGGCCCTAGAGGCCCAGAATTGAAAAGCCCTGACCTAGCCCATCCCTGTACACAGTACTCCCATTTTAGACACTTAACTGGTAAATATATGAAGTTGTTTGCAGATGACGTTGCTGTAGTTGTTTGAATTTCCAACAATGGTGTGTTTGTGTACAGGAGGGCAGAGATTTTTTAGAGATGTGACCAAGTCACTGCTTTGCAAGTCACAAGTGTTTCCAGTCAAGTCTCGAGTAAAGTCCAAGTCACAGGACAATCGAGTCCAAGTTGAGTCCAAAGTATATGATGTGGAAGTCCAAGTCAAATCCAAGTCCTTAACTTTGAATTTTCAAGCCATAATCAAGTCATCTGTCCAACTTCAATTTAATGAAAATGATGATAAATAAATTCCAGAAATAACGCTTCTTAAAGCTTCATTTATGTGCTCAAACAAGCAGAAAGTGCAGCTGAAACTGATTATAAACAACATTCTGCTGCATTTAGCAGTAAATCAAACCCAGAACCAAGAATGATTCATGATTTTTGTCCATGTCGTGCCACTTTTATGCTAAAATATCAAATATGCTCAAGTCATCATCAAGTCAACAGATGCAAATCATTCAAGTCACAAGTCTTTATAGATTTTATCAAGTCAAATCAAAAGTCATTAAAATAATGACTCGAGTCTGACTTGAGTCCAAGTCATGTGACTCGAGTCCACACTTCCAGAGACTTTATACCTTAATAAAGAGGAGAACAGAGAAATTAAGTGTGTGCACAAAGAATCAACATTTAACAGCAGACATTTTGACGCAAAAGCACAAAGGAACGGCACAGGTGTGTATGTCCTGTGTATTACTCCTTTGTTTAGCACACACACAATTTAGCTTGGTTTATGCTTGACGCATTTACTTTCCGCTTGCTGATGCTGCTCGCGGATGGAACGTGCTCCACAACTCACAGCGTTTATGGTTCATGCGGCTTGTCTCTGCGGTGAGCCAATATTCTCCCAAACTGTAGGGGGCAGCATGGAGCTCTACGGCATGCATCCAACACTACACCATAGTAGAAGTAGAAATTACTGTTGTTTACAACATGGCATTCCAGCATTTTTTAACAGTGTCCTCGTCTTTTCCGACAGTGCGAGCTATTTCTCTCCAAGAATTATTAACAACATGTTGATCACGGTGATCTGAGAGCTGAATCATACAAATGTCTGTATTTACGAACCTCTGCCATGCTAGTTCTTGCCAGTCCGCCATGTTTTTCCGCGTCCGACCGTCCGCGTGGTTAGAAAATTTCCTAGGTGCGCGGTGCGGAAATTTTGGGCCGTGCGGAGGCGCGGTGGAGGGGTGCGGTTGTTAAAATGATGCAATTTCGTCGCGCGGAGCCGTGCGAACCTCGCGGACCCGTCAAGCATAAACCAACCTTTACCCTTCTTCCCACAGGTCGGGGGTTGAGCAGCCTAGAAACCCGGAGAACAAGACTGAGAATCAGCTTCTTCTCCCAAAATCTTTGACCATGAAGCTGTTCTCGGCACCATGATTTTAGATTTTACTCATCTGAGATGGACTGAGGGCCACATTTCATCCTCCCAATATCTGAAATCTAACGTTGTAACAACTCAAACATGGCCTCTCCATGAGTTCATCACTGTTCAGATTCTAACAGATTATGCGTCAATTTGTCAGGAAAAGCATGAATTGAGAATATTTGCCTTGAACAATGAATATATGGCTTTATAAGAACATTACATAAAATATCCTTGTTACCATGGCTTCCACCAATATTTCTGGGATTCTGGTAACAAGCCAGCGGCGTTGTTGGAATATAGAGCAGATTTTGTGTGACGTGGCACTCTTATGATTCAATGTGGAACACATTTAATGCTCTATTTGTAGTTTATCCCATGGGCGGTTTTACACTCGAGTGGATAGGTAAAGGCTTGTTTAGTGTAGGTAGACAAATGAAAGCCCTAAATTACTGTCTGGTTATTTTATTATTCGTGGATTCGGCGTTGTGAGAACAATCAACAATGAGGTGAAAGATGTTCGTTATTGTTTGCATCGCCCCTAATCCAGCTCTGCTGGCAGCTCCCTTAAACATTCGGCTGCTGCCGTCCAACCCTAATAATGTTAGATTAAGCTCTGCACAACTGTCCATCTGACATGAGGAGTGGATTTGGGCTGGATTGGAAAATCTGGATGGAAGCAGATTAAAAGGCAGCAGGACCAGAGATAATACAGGAAGGTTTAGAAGATATAGAGCAAAAACCTCAACATACTGTATGATTTTATTATTTTTGTTGCAATCATCGTCTACATCATCACATGTTAGAGGATTTGAGGGTCTTTGGTCCTCCTTCTGGCCGCTGAAAGACCCCGAGGCTACAGTTCTGATTCAGACCACTCCGTCTCTCCCAAACATGCCCCCACAATGCCTCACTGCCCCTCTTTGTGTTGTAGATGATAGGGGAGAAGGGGGGGTGGGCAAACAGGGTCACCTTATTTACAAACAACCCCAAACATCAGAGACATAAAATGCGCTCGCAGAGGAAGTCGCTTTCGTCATATATATCCGATTCACGTCACGTGTCGCCCACGTGGCCCGCTGGTGCGGACCAATAGGGCGCCAGTTTTTTTTTCTGATCAAAGCCAAAGGAAGAGGGCAGATATATTTTTTTTCATCTGCGATTTTATTCCTCCAACGGCAAAAGTGGTCGTCAGCTGCCGCGTCCCGCACGACATAAAGGTAAACGCCGAATTTACAGCTCATGTGTTAACTAAAGGAGGATTAGAATTTTTCCTGAAATTTATATTATATTTAAATTTCTTCATATTTAAATCTCATTTATTCCAAATGTTTAAAAGGATTTACAAAATCCAAGACTTCAAACTGCTGTAAACTTATATTTCAGGTTCGTGTTGTGTCATTAATAATGAATGAACCTGCTTACTTAGCAATGCATTGACTTGTTGGGTAATTTGGAGTTTTTTGGAGGGAAGTCCTCCCTATCGAGCTCCATCATGATGAAGAAAAAATCATTCTATGCTTTTGTCCATCGTCGTCTTCAAATCAGCTCTGAGTCTTTTTACTGTTTCAGAATTAGCCTGAAAAAGTAGGTTTAGCGGCTGTTTAAACAAAGCAGCGATGACCGTTTAAACGTGGCAGGAAAAACAATGGGCTTGATATTCCAGCAGCTCGTTAATTCAATTATCGTCACGCCGATGTTAGCACTGTATTCTTGGCTGGTCAAACAAACAAAAAAACACTGTTACCTCAACGTTTAATCAGATTGGAAGGAAAGCTTTTTCTTTAGCGGTGAGATGCTCAGATATATGTGAAGTGATGGAGCTGAAAAGCTAAAGAGAAAAAAGCCAAAGAAAGGGGGGCGTTCTGGTGCCGTCGTGCCCGATTGCTGGAGGGAAACTCGGCGTATGGAAGCCATGACTTTCTGACCATCAGTAATCTCACATTACAAATTGTGGCAAATCTAAAATGGCCGACTTAGCGTTGAGCTCTTAGCGTCGCGTTCGCAGCCCAACATGGTGCTGGACTCCATTAGGTGTAGTGTTTTAGGTCAACGCGACGGTCCTGTTTTACCGAACCGGTCTCGGTGAGGTTGCTGCGGTGCGGCTTTGATTGTGATCTGGGCTGAGGGATCAGGACGTGGTGCCATGATGAGGGCTGACAGCTCTGGAGACGACTGTCATCGCGGAGCACTGGAAGGCCGATTGGGCGGACACACCCCCCACCCCCACCTCGCCGCATACAACAAAAGCCAGACGAGACGAGAGATGCTCATATACCAGGAAACAAACTCGTCTCCTTTCTGTCACCTTCAAACTTTGTCCCAGACGGTTTTATCTCTCAGGGAGTGAGAAGCCCCTTTAACATTAAACACACAACTCAAAGAGGTCATCCTCAGTGACCCCCACTACCCTAAATGTTTTTTCTTCTGTTGTGACATATGATGACATAACTAGATTAAAAAATTACATTTTAAGTGCTTCATAACAAAAGTTATTTATCAGAGAGAAGCCAAGTCTAAAATATTCAAAGTCAAAGTGAAAGTCACAGGATGCGGACATGAAATCTACCTCTATCCGTACAATCGTTATTTTTACTCCACTGCCAACCAGGCGTGTTCTGGAGCAGAAGGCTTGTTGTATTATAATGACATATCTGGATTAGGACGGAGCAGATGACGGAGGCTTTGGCCTAGATTAACCGGACGTCCATTTAATGATTTCCTTTACAGGATCTCGTCATGTCTGTTTCTGTTGTGGTGACAGCTTCATCTGCTAGTCCATTCAGTGACGGACACATTTTCCTTCTAACAGGGTGGATTAAACCATCAGATTTCAGATGTTGTTAGAGTTTGTTTGCAATTTGACATTTGAATCCAAAGGAGACGCCTACGAAATCCACACAAACTCAGAACAAATATTGGAAAAAGACATTAACCAAAATTATCAAATATGAGTCTTTCTATGAAGGTACATTAGGGGCATCTGTCTGTCTGTCTGTCTGTCTGTCTGTCTGTCTGTCTATCAGTTATTGGGGGGAGGGGTAAATCTAAAAATATCAGATTTGCATGAAAAATATTTCAGGTTTTTCCTGTAAATTTTTTACTTTTGACCCTCATGATTTAACAATCTCAAGTTTGTTCTCATAAATGAAAAAATTCAAAACTGAAATGTAATTTTTTAAATTACAAAATATGTAAAAACTGAAAAAAGTTGTTTCCAATTAATTCTATTTCATGTAAACTTACAGGTTAAAGATCATAGACATTATTCAATAGCCACATTAAAATTTTTGATAGATCTCATAAATCATTACTCTTTGAATTTTGGATGAAAAAGTTTCATCTCTTGGACTGGAAACGTTAAGCCTTAACGTTTGGACTTTTTTCTCCTTTAAGTGTGTTAGAAAAAACTTAAATATACCACTTTTACAACTTCCAGAACATCTGGAGTTATTCTCTTCTAACATTGTAACATTTTTTTAAAAATGTTGTGCCTTTTTTTTTTTGCAAAAAAAAAACAAACAAACACAAAAATTGGAATTTTGTGGCTTTTAAAAAATATATATTTCAAAATGTTGATCCTGAATTTATGGCTTTCTTCTTGCAATGTTTTAAATTTTTTTATGTGGCCTTCAAATGACTAATTTAAAGATCTACAACTCTACAGGTTTAGAGAATATCAGGATTTTTTATACGTAAATGTATGACAGAAATCTGGATAATTATAGGATTTTTGTCAGAAAGAATTCAAGTCCACTTCAGTTTATTCATCTTTGTATTTTATACAGTGGCCTGTTTTAGTTTTCTTCCCATGCAAAGTTGATCTCCCCTTCTAAGCTTATGATTTGACAGAAAGTTTAGGTTTGTTGTAACGGAGTTAAAAGGCTCAACAAACAAGCATTTAAACACTCCACAAACACAAGTACTCCCTTAAAAAGTGACTTTTTCTTTCAGATAAATAAGCTTCCCTCTCATAAAAGCATCAATTCCAACCTAATGCTTCCGCAAACAGAAGTGTGTGTGTGTGTGTGTGTGTGTGTGTGTGTGTGTGTGTGTGTGTGTGTCTGTCTGTCTGTCTGTCTGTCTGTGTGTCTGTCTGTGTGTCTGTCTGTCTGTGTGTGTGTGTGTGTGTGTGTGTTTGAGTGGAGTTGAGTGTCAAGGGATGTAAAAGATTGAAGTTCTTCAAGTGCAATGCTGAAGTCTTTTCTGAGGCGAGGAGGAAAGGAAACTGGAAGAGGAGGAGGAGGGGGGAGCCATTTTGTGCGCTGCACTGTCCAGCCGAGCATAAAGCGTGATTAATTCAATAGCTGCCATAAAAGAGGAAGCTAGCAGTGCAGCAGCATGACCCACTTTCCCCGTCAGATGTCACGAAAAATTCCCTGCCATCCCTATATGCATTCCCAACTTCCTGCCTGAGCCACCTAGAAACGGCAACAACAGTCATCAGACAGCAGCACGTCTGTCTGAAAATTTTATCAGGATTTATTTGGAGTAAATTAAATAATCGGGATAAATTAGTAAAATGTGGAAGGTTTTGGCCCTTGGGCACTGATGATTCAAAGGCCCTTGACCTGATTCTATAGAACTCATGAGCAGAAGACAGTTAGTGAAATGCTGACCTGGTTCCTCTTTCAGAGACGAGACTCATTTTGGTTGACCTGAATCAAGACAGGAGTCCTAATAACAGAATCCGGTATGGAGCGCCAAATGTAAAACAACACAACAGCAACATTTTGTCTCATTTAACCGCATACATGTGTTAAACAAGACAACTATGTCTAAATCAAGGGCGGAAATCCAATTTCAATTTTGGGGGGGACAATAAACAGTAAAACTTCAGAGAGTAATTTTTTGGGGGGGGGACATGAAACAAAATGCTCTCTACATACAACACTGTATGTCCTTATAAGAGACTGACCTGAGACTCTGTGCCTGTGTCTGACAGGCTCTGGCTGCCTGTTCTCAAGTGACTGGACTTTGCCTAATGAAACCATTTAGAAACAATTTCATTTCTTTCTTATAGATGTCTTTATCAAAATGCAAGTTTCTACTTACTTGACGTTCTGGAGCATTAAAAAACGACCTGCTGTCTGCCGTTTTTCATTTCTCTGCCATTTCAACTGACTGGGCTGCTGACAGTTGGACAGCAACACACACACAGATGGGATATTGTCATTAGAACGAAGCTGGAGGATATTGATCAACAATAATATCTTACTAATTTTGTACATCTCAATAAGCATCCTTTCTTTTTGTTTTCATTTTAATAACAAGACTGTGGCCTAAAACGGAAAAAGCAATTCAGAATAAAGATTTAGAAGTAGATCGTTAATAGTTGAAGCAACATGTCCTGAAATGCCATGGCTATTAGCTGACCAACAGCTACATGTGTGGACGGATGCAAAGCATTAATTTTAAGGACTAAAACATACCTAACCTTTTCACAACAAAGAGAGAGAACATAAAATGTCAAATAAAAATTTTATTAAATCACATAACACGAAAGCTACTAAAATCCAAATAGTTCCATATTGATTTTAATATATTTGAAATTTTCCTTCTAAATATGGCTACAAAAAATAAACTTCAAATCAGCTTTCACAAGTCAAGTATCAAAATGACTGAAATCTCTTTAATAAATCATAGGAATGTTTGTAGGCTATTAGAGAATAACTCTGTAATATTTAATAACTTTATCTAAGTCCTACTGAACGAAAAGATACACAAAATCTAAAAATATATTCTTGAAATATTTGTTTCATTTTAATAATAAAAATTAAATACTTTTACTTTACAAATACACTAAACATATACATACTCTATAGTTTATCTTTCAGTTTAATCGATCTCTCACTTTTCTCAGTTTTCATAGTGTTTTTGGGTCTGTGTGGCCAACGGGATCTTTGGCTCTATGTTTGAGAGCTTTGAGTAACGTGCCTCCACCACACGTTTGCTGCAACTAGTTCATCCCTAAGCTGCACGGTGTACCTGCACTTTGACATATTGTAAACAACTGCAGAGCCTGGGGAAGACGTGATAAGAGCGGTTAAACGCTGTGGTTTTCCATACATCGGACCAGTTAGTTTTGATTCTACCATATTCATCTGCTAAATAGGATGAAACGCAGACATTTTCATCAATCTATAAATGCTCCGCAGATTCCAGGGGCAGACCGTGAAAGGGTACGTGTCCGGAAAAAGGAACTTTTGATCACCTTAAT